TCTCTCTCTCTCTCTCTCTCTCTCTCTCTCTCTCTCTCTCAAGTGGAATGTTAATTCGTAATTCGATTCGATCGAAGGAAGGAAAATTTATTCGTTGACACATGGAAATTTTATATTTAAAAAATATTTAAAAATATTTAATATTTAAAAAAAAAAATTCTCGTCTTCTCTGTTGTTCTCATTATTCCGATATATTAACTAATATTCTGTTGTTAAATATTAAGGTGTCTCATAAGTTTCTTTTGCACCATGTTAGGAAATGATTTTAATTGATTTTATTTTTATACGAATATAGACTTATCTATTTTAGACTTAGCTATTTTAGTCGTCCAAAGCTCTTTTAACACCATATTCGGATGACGCTCATTTGACTACTTATGAACTTTGTAGGTATTTGGAAAGATTCTGCACGGTGTAATAAATAAAATTATTAAATTGTTATAAAAATAATAAAGAAATTATTCTGAATGTAAAATTTTAAAACTTTCTATCCAAAGCTGAACAAAAAGGACAAAAAGTTGTTGTGTTTTTTTAAATTCCTTTATCCATTTTTCGTCTTTTATCCGAACATAATTTAACATAATTTGCATTCAGTCTAATATACCAGAATTATTTTTCCTAACGATATTATGTTGACTCCGTTTTGACAAGGTAATCCTAACAATTTTGCAGCTAATAATTCTCTAAATTTTCTATCATGAGTATCAAAACTTCTTTACACATCCTTCAATATGAATAGCCAAAGGAAGCATTTGTTACGCTTTAGACGAGATTTCTACTGTTCATCACGGATGCTACAATTATTATATACGATCCACAATTGGTTTAAGAGATTTAGAGGTGACAATTTTGGACTTTATCAAGGCTGACATATTGGATGCCAAGATATGTCGATCAAAGTTTGGCTTCCACAATTTTACACCGCGTCTCTACGTCTCTGCGATTTCCTTTTCCATCTACACGAAAATGAACCTTTAGTTTAAGATTCCTTTAGAACTTAGAATACAGAGAAACAGAGAAGGATTCTTCCTTAATATATATATATATATATATATTAAGAAAATTAGAGAGAAAATTTGTAATATTATAGAGGAGATGAGGAGAGGAGTGACCCACACTAGGTGGGAATAAATCTTATAAGTAGGCGGTTCACGATACCTCCGGATCGTTGGCCGCAAATCCGTGGATAAGCCGTGGAGAACAAAAGTGGCGGCGGGGAGGGGGGCGGGCAACGTGGTCAGAAATACGGCGCGCGTTCCACGGCTTTGGATAAAACCCCTTTTAGGGGGTTGCGGCTCCCGTCGAAACGTTTCGATCTCGTCATTACGATCTCGACCGACGTGACGATTCGAGAAATTGCTATGAGTGTGTGTGTACATATATATATATACATATATACATTGCTCGTTATCGTGGCTTTTCATGAATCGAGAGTGAGATCCGTTTTCTTGCATCGTTTTTTTATTTTAAAATAAAAAAGGGAGGGGGGTGAAAGCCGTTGGAGGACGCCATTAAGGGGATGATGGATTTTTTATACCGTGAATAATAGCAGTATCTCGGGTCAGATCGGGAATCGTATCCTTCCCTTTCTTCCATTTCTTAGGGATTTATCAAGTTTTTTCGTTTTATCTCGACACCGCGATTCCCCCAATGACCGATCGATCGATCAACTCCTATCTTCACGAATAATAAGGGATAGAAGCGATTAGAGCAATGGAAAATTTAACGAATCCTTCGATTTCGTGGAGAATGGAGGAAGCGAGGTATCCGTGGAATTAAATACAGGCGGAGTTTTTTCCCTTTATTCCCCCCTTTTGCGCGGAAAACAAAGGCGGGAAGAAGCGGCGGCAGCAAAGCACAATAGATGATATAGGTATCGCCGATTTTTCACCCGTCCGCCAGATTTTTCAATGTAACTTGAGAGCGGCTCCCTCGCGAGGTCCCAGGACAGAGGAATGGATGAACAGAGGCGGCGAGGAAGGGTGGGTCTGGAGAGAGAGAGAGAGAGAGAGAGAGAGAGAGGGGGGGGGCGACACAAGAACGGAACCGGAGACGGCGAGGGGAGGGAAGGGTCACGGTGTAGAAAAAGAGGCCACTGAGAGGAGGAAGAGATTCCAAAACGATAGAGAGAGAGAGAGAGAGAGAGAGGAAGAAAGGTTTTCTCTTGCTTCTTGGTTGGAAGAGGTGTACAATAATGGCGGGGAAAAAAAAAAAAAAAAGAAAAAGGGAAAAAAAAAAAGGTCTCTTCGAGAATGGAAAGGAACGAATCCGGAGGTTAGAGCCGCAGCATCCTGCGTCCAGGAAAATCTGCCTCGAGGAGGGTTGTTGCCTCGGGGAGGGTGAACGTGGAACGGGAGGGGGATGGCGGTTCGGGCATCTCGACGTCATTAATAAAAGTGTCAATGGTGTCAGTGGACTAATGTCTGTAGTCGCTTGGTTGGGCGGTGGCACCACGACCTCCTCCTCCCCACCTCCGCCCCCCCCCCCATCTCTCGTCCCGCGCTGTGTCGGCTTCAATCGTTTTCCGTTTGCTCCTCGCCGAGACGTACCTTCTTTTCTGGACTGGATTACCGCCTCTTATCGGCGCGGGGGATCCAAAGGGAGGGAAAAATGTTTTTTCCTCTTCTTGGAAATCGAATTAAACAAAAATCCGATTCCATTAATTAATCGATCGACCTTACTTCAAATCTAATCAATTATTCCGCATATCTCTTTATCGAGTCCATGTTGAGATGATATACACGTAGTTTTTCAGATATATATATATAAAAAATTATTTCGCGTTGTGAAAATCGGAGAATTAAAAAAAAATCCGATTCCATTAATTAATCGATCAACCTTACTTCAAATCTGATCAATTATTCCGCATATCTCTTTATCGAGTCCATGTCGAAGTGATATACACCTAGTTCTTCAAATATATATATATATATATATATCTATAATATCTATAATATATATATATAAGAATAATTTTAATGTTCGCATGATTTCGATTATTTCGCGTCGTGAAAATCGGAGAATTAAAAAAAAAACCGATCCCATTAATTAATCGATCAACCTTACTTCAAATCTAATCAATTATTCCGCATATCTCTTTATCGAGTCCACGTCGAGGCGATATACACCTAGTTCTTCAAATATATATATATATATATATATCTTATAATATATATCTATAATATCTATAATATATATATATATAAGAATAATTTTAAGGTTCGTACGATTTCGATTATTTCGCGTCGTGAAAATCGGAGAATTAAAAAAAAATTCGATTCCATTAATTAATCGATCGACCTTCCCTTAGATCTGATCAATTATTCCACATATTTCTTTATCGAGTCCACGTCGAAGTGATATACACTAGTTCTTCAAATATATATATATAAGAATAATTTTGATGTTCTTGGATTGTTTCGCGTGAACGTCGTGAAAATAGGGGAGGGGTTCGAATACTCATGCATATAGAGTAATATTCTTTCCATTCCGTGTAAAGTTTTAAAGGGCGCACGAGTGTAATTTTAAGCGGTTTCAATGGCGCTTCCCAACCCCGGCAAGAATAACGATCTTTCATCGCCGATGTCGTGAAAAGGGATGGGGTGGGGTGGGGTGAGCAGGGTAATGACGGGAGCGGGCTCGCGTATTAGGAAACAAGTTTAAGGCCGTTGGTGGTTGAGGAGTCTCGAAACTCCGTCCGTGGCGCGGGGAGGCCCCGATATTATTACTATGTAAATCACCCCCTCTGCCGTGGCACGCTGACGCCCACGGTGACAGCCTCCCGAGTGGCCCACGACGCACGATGGATGAGCTCCGGCTTCTTATTAGATATTCCTATGCGCCATCCCTCCGATCTGCAAACACGTTCCTTCATTTCGCGCCGATATACGTTATACCGCACTCCTTGCCGCGTCGTGGGCGTTTTATGGAAAATCGGCTTCGATTTCACGGTTTAATCTTCCAGAGAGAAAATTCCCGGGTCGAATACATTAACGTTTGGCTATCCTTTCGATTTCGATCGATTATTATTCGGGATTATTATTCGTGGAAGAAGAAAATTTTTGAATAATTTGGATAATTATGAATATTTAAGAAAAAAGATTGAAAGGAAAATAAGAATTCGAAACGAACGTTTCGTACGTTTTTTGGCGGTGAAAGGACAGAATTTGGTGCCGGAGAGTTTTGGAAGAGGGGGGATGGTAAAGTGGAATTTCGAATATTCTTTTCAACTATCTATTAGAAAGAGATCGGTTGAAATTAATGTAAAACTTCCGTGACGGAGGGAATGGAAAAATGATAGGGGAGTTCCGATGGAAAGTTATGTTTAGAGCGATTAATTCGATTTTAATGCATTGCGATAAAAAGAAAGAAATTACTCTCGAAGAAAAAATAGTTGCCTGTCGAATTCTATTTCCATTTCGAATAATTTTGTTTTTGTCAAAATCTCTTTAAAAAAAAGAAAAAGAAATCGTACAAATTAGAATCGTGGATTTAATAAAAATTGCAAAATTATTTTCGACAATTTTCAAAATTTTCCAAGGAATTATGAAAGAAAAACGCTATTGATTAGAATATCAAGAGACAAGCATAAACTGTGCATAACGAGTTTGGTAAACAATATAAAAGGGGTCGAAAGAGGAAGGGTTGCTGCCCTTAGGATAAAAGGGGTTCGCGGTCTGACCCGACAGATACTTTGACGTCTTTCTCCATAAAACACAATGTTAATTAACGAACAGGAGACGCCCTCTCGCGGAGATCCCTGGCTACATTCGCGATTCTCAATCAACGACGGTATTCATGAGCCTACCACGACGCTCAGACGCACGACTAAATTATGCAAACTAAGTATAGAACGTTTTATGAACGAAAATATCAAGATGCCTTTGCGAAACGGTTTTTCACTGTCTCTACTAAGTGTACACTGTTTGTTCGAGTTTGAAAAGAAGTTTGGTTTTACAAATTGGTTTTGCTTCGATCGTTGGATACGATTATCGATGCAGAGAAATTGTAAGTAACCTAACATTTTTACTTGAAAATATATTTTTTGACATCAATTTCTTTATAAGGTATGAAATATTGTATTCTATAAACATTAATAAATATTACAAGTAAATATTCAATTGGGACAACAATAGAGGTTATATCGTATTACGTAGCAACGTTCGTTGATCGTAAATACGTAGAATTTGTTGCCGTTCTGCAAGTGCGATCAGATCATTTTTTCTTGGTTGATTTCTACAATGCTGAGCAAGTTGATCATTTCAGAGAACTCGTCCAGATAGAATCATTTTGTTCGAGTTAACCATCGTAATAGTCTATATATATATATATCGACAACTCGATACCAGGAAAAGTAGTTGGAAAATACAGGTTAGGAATTGGGTTGACACAGATGAATAATATATCTTGATGATTTCATTTCTCGTTTTGCTTCGAAGAATTTTGTTTCGTAAGTATAATTTTCCATCAATGACTATAGAGAGTATTTGCATGTATTTTTAATTTCCATTTGCATCATTTTTTTTTTCATCATACATATATTCATAATATTTAAACTGCGTGTGTATATATATATATATATATAATATAATATAATATATAAATACTTTTTATAATCACTTGACATTTTTCGTATACGAATATACGAAAACAGAATATTAATTTCGTAAATTCAATCGAAGAGAACAAAACTATGGAATCAACTGATAATTAACTTTGTCTCCCAGAGAAGAATTTCGATCAGGATCAAGACACATGGACATACGTGAATTTCATCATAAATTGGCAAGATGTTCAAAAAGTCTATAATTAACGCGATTAATTGGCAAAACTGGATGCATAACGTACATCTTATCCCATGTAATCGTTCTGTCAAGAGGAACAAAGACAGAGAAATCTCAAAATGGAGTTCGTACAAAGCGAAGGACGTACACGATAATTTCACCCGTGTGCGCAATCTTATCCATGATATCGACGTCTCCGTACAGGTGAATTCACTCTGATTACAGATTCAGCCAACCTGAAAATTACGCGGTCGATTCTCCGTGACGAGCAAGAGAATGAGAGAGAGAGAGAGAGAGATAGAGAGAGAGAAAAGAAGGTGATGAAGTCGAATCAGGTATTCATGAGAAAGAGAGAGATTGATAAACAACATCACGTAATTTCGCTTATAAGATCAAATTACAGTCGGCGTCGAATTAAAGACCGTTCATTTTCTGCCTGTTTATTCGCGATTCATTCGTAAAATGTGTACTATAGTCTTGAATCGAGCCGATTTACGTCGATTCGCGTCATGTTTTTAATGCTATAACTTGAACGAGCGTCGTTTAAGGTGGAATTACTAAAAGGAAAATAAGATCTTGCACTCTCTTCGATTAACGCGATCAATATTCTTATTAGTTGAGGAATTCATTCGGAAATTCTCGAAATTGAAACGTTCTTGTTTTTCAATAAAATTTTTTATATAGATATAATATAGAGATAGTTTTATATTATTGAAATTCTGTAGGACAGCAATTCCTCAAATTATGAATTCTTTTTGAATAATTTTTTTTTAAGGAATAATTATTAAAATTCTTCCTTAAAATACATTGATTTAAAAATCATTGTTTTGAAAAATTTTGAAAACTACAGTGAAAGGTTATGTGAAGTAGTATAGATGGCAGATTGTGTAACCATCAGAACAAATGCGTATCTCCAAGCCTTGATTCCAGTATCTCTGAAAAATCCCCTATATCCAATTCAACCAACCAAAAAAAAAAAAAAAAAAAGGAAAAAAAGAGAAAAACTGGTAGAGGCTTCAATTTCCTCGTCACGAAGCGGGCCAACAAAAGCATTCCGGCCAGATAAATTTCTACGCTGGTCGCTTTTCGCGTCAGCCCTTCGACAACCTTCAGGTTCCTCACAAAGAAGGGAACACAGCGATGGCGGTGGGCAGTGGTAGGCAGGTCCCTCGGGAATCTTTCTCTCTCTTTCTCTCCAACTCTCATCTCATCTCTCTTCATCTTCCATCTCTTTCTCCATCGACCACTGGTACAAAAGAAAGAAAAGGATAGATGATTGAAGAGAGAACGAGAGAGAGAGAGAGAGAAAGGGACATCTTGCTCCACAGGACTCTCGCTCTCGCCACCGGCGCCCCCGCTATTTATTTTCCAGGATTTCAGAGTCCGAAGCCATTAATCTCCGCTCCGCAGCGTCAGTGGAGCGCGTCAGGGCGACGTCGGGGTGCGTGGCGTCGGCGACGTCGCTCTGCTCTTAGCCGCAGAGCCTCGTGTACACCGTCGTGGCAGCCTGCTGTTGAAGAGAGGGAGAATGGGAGAGAGAAGAGAGAGAGTGAACGAAAAGATGAGGTGTCGGTGAAAGAAGAGAGGTGAAGATGGAACGAGAGAAAGAAGGAGTGGAGGGAGAGAGGGAGGGGAAAGCGTCCGGAGAGGGAGTCGGTGAGAGACATGGGAAGTTCTGCAAGGTTTTGGAGGGGGTGCTGATGGCGGCGACGAGAGAGGGGAACTCCTACGGCCAAGTTATGCAAAAAACGTCTATTCGTGAAAGGATGATACCGTGCTGGAAGGTGGAAAGGCATTAGTATCTAAGAATTTTGCGGTGATGGCCTTTTGATGTCCATCTCAATTCGAATATTCTGGTTTAACGGGTTAATGAAATTGGAATTGATCTGCAAATATTCATTATGACTCCTATTGATCCCTGTGGTATCCATTTTTATATTTTCTGTCTTCGATATTTAAATTTCTTTAAAGTTTTATTATTCCTTCATTTTTCATTTGTTTGTGCATACCTTTAAATTAAATTTTATAAAAAGACACTATTAACAAATAATATGTATAACAATCAACCTTTAATAATTGTGTTTAATATTTATATACCATATATTTCGCAGACTGCGTTCATTAGAGATTCCCGCAAACAGATATATTCGAGGTACGCCGATGAACGAGCTGAAAAGCCAAGGAGAGGAGAGATCTCTATCGGCGCTTAATCGTTAACAAGAACGAGAGATCCAGCATCTCGTAAGACATTAATCGCTCGAAAGTGACGCTGCCAACCGACCAGAGCAATAACAACAACAACAACAACTGGGATACCTGTTGGATATATTCGAAAGTCTTGGTGGAATGTGTGAAGATGGCCATTATATAGCCAAGTACGGGTTAAATTATATTAAATACTAAATAACCGGTGGAAGACCACAGTTTAATTGTTGCGTCGTTTGCATAATGCCCGGTCTGTAACTACTCTCTTCCCTTCTGCATCCCCACTTCCCATCCCGTTTCCATCTCTGTCCACTTGTACTCTCTTTAACGTGTCTTCTCCACGTATATCTCCTCATTGCATTCTCCTATCTTCTTTCTGTGACCCCCTTCCACTTTACAACGACCGTGTCCCCTCTTCTCTGATTCAGTCGCAATATACCGGACCGAAAGATTAATTGTTAATTCTCGCTACTGCAACCAGTTGCTACCAAATGTTCAAAGATTCGTTTCTGTATGGATTAAGAAACCGATAGATCAGGTAGGAGTATGCATAAAGGAATTGTAAATGTGGTAAAATCTTGGATGAATTTCGTTTCTTAATACGTAAGCGAATATGCATATTTGAGGTTAAGTTAGACAAAGATTAAGAAACCGACAAATCGGACAACAATGTGCACAAAGAAGTTTTAAATATGATAAAGAATATATTCTTGACACGATATGCAAATGTTCACATTTGATGGTAGATTAAGCAAAGATTAAGAAACCAACCGATCTAATATAAATGTTCATGAAGAGAAAATAAATGTGAAAAGAAATCTTGACTTTTTTTTTTTTACGTATGTTAATGTTTAAGATTAGGTTAAGTTAAGTCGGACAGAGATAAATGAATTTAATAAAATAAATATGGTAGAACTTTGTTTTTTTACATAATATGCTAATTTAAGATTAAATTGGTTAAAGATAGAGAAATTAACCGATCCGGTAGCAATGTACATGGAAGAAACGTACATGTAACGGAATGAATCTCGACTTTTAACACGAAGTATGCGAATATTCAGATTTGAGGTTGGGAAAATGGCTGATGATGAAACGATCCCGAAGGAAATTTACATGTGAAGTGGTTTTATGGCTGTTTCGAAACGCGATAGTCACAAGGGGGTCAAGATTGAAGAATTCAATGATATTTTGCGAAAAAAGTCAAATATCTCGTACTTCATACCTATCTGTTAAAATATATAATAGATACTTATTAAATTTCCGTAGTAAATTTTTATTAGAGACGAAAGTTTAACATTTCGAGAAATCTAAAATTTTTTAATTTTTCTTTTATTGTTAAAACAAACAAATTACAATATTTTTAAATATTTAATAAATTTATATCGGTTCTCTAACTTTGTCTGAAATTTCCAACATGTCTCGAGAAAAATAAAAAAAACCCTAGATATAATACTAGTAAAAAAGACTGCGCATTGTCACTATTCACCAAGTTTATCGTCTAGGATAATATAGTCTAGGATAATATAATCAAATATTTCAACACACTTTGAAAAAATAAAAAAGAACCCTAGATAGAAAATTTTTACCAAGGAAGGCAATATACATGGACAAAAATTATCGGCCAGATTAGATGTTTCTCGCGCAAAGGTCGTTCGTCTCCCGTCTCATTTGAGCTGCCCTGTGCCCCCCTCCTCATCGTTCTCCCTCAGTCATCGTCTAGCCGCGTTTGCACGGTAGCCATTTGCAAGATTACGAGCGCTGCCGCTAGGGCGCTCATTAACGAGCGAACGAAAGAAGAGATTATCAACCGACTAAGCGTAACTAACAACAACGAGCTACGTCCAATTTGAGAAACGGCTAATTATATGGCCGCGGGTACCTACCATTCGCTTCGTGGCGCGAGCTACTTTTTTTTTTCGCGACCACCGACGACTAATTACTCGAAACGACTTCGATCGCCACCGTTGTGACACCATTGCCCAACACACGCCAAGATTAATCGCGATACGTTGTGCCCTACAGCAAAATTAATTGCATCGAGTGCGCTTCCTCCTCGGGCTAAGCATCGAGTGCCCAAAAACGACCAATCCTTTCGATAACCAAAAAAGAAGTAAAAAGATAAAGAAGAGGAAGATATAACAGGTTATTTCGAAAGTTCATTTGACTTTTTACTTTATAGATCTTCTGTCAGTTTCACATTCGTGTTTTCATTCTTTCAGAATAGTAGTCGAATACGAATATTCATAATGGATATACAAGTACAGAGTGTTAATATATAATTTCTAAGAGTCTAAATTCGTCATTAGATGGATCGAAAAATAGTGTACTATTTTGAATTTTCTCAGTCAATCGTTTAACAATTTGTCGTCGGTGTACAATGTACCATGGTGCGTCACGTCCTTTAGGGAGAAAAGATTCGTAAGTGGTGGTGTTGTTACTTAATGGTGATACGAGTTTCCTCTGTGCACGAGAAATAGGGGGAAGAAATAGGGGTGGCGAAGCAGCAGGATGATCGGTATGGTGTTCGCATCAATATGAAACGATCACGCGGGGGGGGCTCGTGCTGAGACGATATTTATATCTGACATTTTGTCGGCCCCTGTAACATCGAGCACGTCTAATAATTACAATACACAAGCGAAGAGAGGGCTGGGAATATCACCGAAACTGTTCCTGTGAAACAACAACTGAAATGAGACTTTATGTGTAAATTTGTGATCCAAATTAATTTATCGAGGCCCAAAAATTGAAGAAAATTCTTATTCAATCGAATATACAAAATATGATTATATTCTTTAACACGATGATTGAAATATTTTGAAATTATTGTTCAACAAATGAATCGGAATATCTAATTTCTATCTAAAAAAGATTATTTACAAAAAATCAATCGGTATAAAGAAAAAAAAGCAATTATTCCTATACCAACAATTAAAAAATCACAATTTTTGAGTTACATCATTGCGATGAATAGGCGACACATTTGATAATAATAAAAATTGCATTACACGCTAGATGGATTAGATTAATCGTTGATTGGTATCTTGCAAACTATAATAGATACAGATACGCCTTATGAAATTAAATGGATAACTCTAAGACCAGGTTCTCGGCGATTAGAAAAATTCTAATTTTAGTCGCAGCTGATATATCAAGCGGAGAATTCATCGCGAGAGATGTATGTGGAACGGGGTAGGAAAGTTTTAATCGGTACTGTGGATCGCGATTTTCACCCCTTGGCGAATCACGCAGCCACGAAAATCGTTACGAATAAAT